CGGTGACGTGGACGCCCCCAGGCGTCTTAGGGTTTGCGCGTGAATTCTTCCACATTGGGAGGCGCATCGATTATTAAACCGTGAAAACGCAAGTGCTACTCGACCGGCTTGGTGGACTCGAGAGAACTACGAATCTGAAAATGAGATGATTGTCTGTGATGGCGCAAGTGAGGGACGGGACAGGTGTTGCGCGACAAGGAAGAAACTTATCCACGAAGATAGAATGATAGGAAGGCGGGAACACCTGTGCACATCTCGAAGAAGAAGGGAAGAGCGCGTTTAGTTTCTCGAAATTTCGGGGAGAAACAAAGGACAGGCAAAGGATTCACAAAGAGATATTTCGCGACTGAAACGAAAGCAAACATCGGATGATCGTTACAGGGGCAACAAAGCAACATACGTATATGTATATATATATATAATATTATATGTATATACACATATACATATACATATATATATAAATATATATAAAAAAGAAAGGAGCAGTCGTCACGGTGGTCACCATCGAAACCAGACTTACTGTGCGTGCCACGACGTAAACAGGACGATCGTCGATTTAAACTGCGCAAAACAAAGAGCGAAACAAAGAGAGGGGAGAAAAAAGAAAAGAAAAGAAAAGAGAAAGAAAAAGAGGAAACGAGAATAAACACATCGCGAAAATATATAAACGACTCGCGAAAATATAAAGTCCAAAAAGTGTCGTCGAATTGTACATACTTCGGAACTTTCCGGAAACAAATTTTCTTTCGTCTCTTGAACTTCGAAGCTTTCTTTCGCTGTGCTTTTTAATCGATCGGACCGAGCCGAGGAGGAGGAGGATCCACCATTTTTATACGATGAATTAATTAAAAAACGGGGGGAAAAACTCTCTCGAACGGATCCCTCTCCGCGCGAATCTATCACAATTTTTTCACAGCTCGATATCTACGAACGGTTTGGGCTTAACTCGGCAGCTTCAAAAGCCCTCTCTGCTCTGAAGCAGGCACCGGTCCTCTGGGAGGACGCCCGTCTTATGGCGTCGCGTATAACCGCCATCCCAAGTTTTGCCAACGAAACGTCATCCCCTTTCGATTGGGACGATCCTCTCGATTTCTCCGTGCAAGGATGCGCCAATTCGAACTCTCGAAAAAAACATCGAGGAAGGTTATCTCGTCGCAGTCAGAGAGAAAATTGAACTGGAAAAAAATATATATATATAATTATACGAATTTTCTCTGACGAGTAAAGCGTTTCGTGCGAAATTTGGACAAATGATGTGTAATAATAATAATAATAATAATAATAATAATAATAATAATAATGATAATATTAATAATAATAATACTAATAATAATATTATAATATTATAATAATAATAATAATAAATATAATAATAATAATAATAATAATAATAATAACAACATTGTCAGTAAGGGGGGGAGAAAAAAAGGCACCGTTTCGATACGTTCGATACGATACCACAATGATTCTTTTATTCGTCACTGTTCGCACGGAGTTTTCGTCCGATCTCGCTCAGAAAATAATATATATATGTGTTTGTGTATACATATATATGTGTATATATATATACTTATATATATATATATATATATATATCGTTGCAATAGCATTCGATTTAACCGAACGAGTAGAGGGTCTCTCGATCGAACTTATCGAAATTTCTTCAAGCTCCGTTTTTTCTACTCTGTGTAAACGAAATCGAATTGCGAGGAAATTGCGACAAGAATTGCGGCTACGTAACGAAAAAAAAAAAAAAAAAAAATAATCCTCTATGATGATTTTGGTAGTCGCGGTTTTTGCGCCGGTGCGCAAAAACTTTTTCTCTCTCTTTAGAGTTTTCTTTTGCGGGGAAAAAAAAAGAAAAAGAAAAAGTAAAAGAAAAATCTTCACGACCAGCCGACAAGCCGTTAGAGAAAAAGAAAAAGAAAAAAAAATGAAAAACGAACACGTTCACCCTGTTAAAAAAAGAAAAAAAAAGAAAAAAAAATGTATCGAACAATGAGGGAGAAAAATACCGTATTATTAAATTATTTAAAATAATCGGTCGTCTCCGCGGATAGAGAGGGGTAACTAATTAAAATGATATATAAAAAAAGAAAAAGAAAAAAAAAGATACTCGAAGATAAACGTGCTAAACGATACATCGAACTAAATACGTAGGAATTTTTACTAAATCGTCAAGATCATTTCGATTCTCTTCTATTACCGTAAGAAAAGTATTCGCGACTCTACACTTGCTGCTTCGTCGCGATCCATCGATCCCTCCGTTGAAAAAAAAACGCTTAAAATAACGGAGAAAACACACGTGTGCACATTGCATCGACATCCAGCGAACGACTTTGCCCGCGAGAAAGAAAAAAAAAAAAAAAAAAGGGAAGGGTTTCGACCAACGTCGAATTCGAACAATAGCGGTGTCGTTGTTCCGTATTCTCGTAGCTCGTGCCAATAAGCGAAAACGAAGGAAGAACGAAGAATGACAGAAATGTATCACGATCGATCGTTGAAAGATAGAAAAAGAAAAAGAGAGAGAGAGAGAGAGAGAGAAAAAAAAATGAGAATGAAAATGAGAACAAAGAGAAAACGAAGAAATAACAATGGAGAAAGAATTTGTTCGAAAAGGAAATGAGCACGTGTAAATTATCGCATAATTTTGACTTGGAAAGAAAAGAAAAAGAAACAAATCACTTTACCATCACTGCTACTACTGATCACCACCTACGTGAGAGAAAAACTATTCACACTATTATTATTACTGCTACTACTGTAACTACTACGGCTACTACTGTTACTTACTAATACTATCACTATTATCGCTATTACTATTACTGTTACAATTTACTACCGCCATCGATGCTACTATACTACTATTATTACTATTTACTACTGCAATTACTATTACCATTGTTACTAAATACTATTGACATCACTAAAAAACACCGCCACCTCTTTTGTCGCTGCTACTATTGCTATCGCTACTACAACTATCACTATCACTATTACTACTACTATCACCACTACTTACTATCACTACTACTATTACTATTACTACTACTGTTACTACTACTACTACTACTACTACTACTATTGCTGCTATTACTATTATTACCGCTACTGCTACTACTACTACTATTACTTACTGTTACTACTACTACTACTACTATTACTACTATTACTACTACTACTATTACTACTACTACTACTAC